CACACACACACACACACACACACACACACACACACACACACACACACACACACACACAAACAAGTGTGGCAGTGTATATTTCCATGTTCTAGCAGTAGATTCATTCGAGTTTGCTCATCCTATAGACACACACACACAAACAAAGTCGCAGGGAAGAGAATGGCATGAACACAAAGCAGAGGAACAGGCACGAACGAGAACGAAGAGGGTTAGACGGCAAAACTCCAAGAAGCGGGACAGGAGGTTGGCCTTCACGAGCTTCTCCGCGGTGCAAGCAGCCGGAGACGAGTGTCTACTGCACTCCAGCAGTTTCTCCGCAGGGGCCCGTCAAGGAAAATAGTGGCGGTGCGTCAACAACAATGGGGTTTGAAGTCGAATTCTAATTTCAAGCGCCTCACTGCTGCAGGGGCAGTACAGGAAGATGGCTGCCCCTTATGACGGCATATGGCGTAGAGCCCAATGGAATGGGACCGTCGGTTGAGGGAGGGCGTCCTGGAAAGTTATGCCCACTACCGACAGGGGCCTGCCGAAAAGATTTTTAGGCCCAGGGCCGCGACAGGGTAAATCGGCCGTCGGAGGGGCGCAAAATAATGGAAAATACAGGGGTGCCAGACAAATTTTCCCAAAAAAAAAAAAGAAAACGACTTTGGCTTTTTTTTTCATTATTATCTTTTTTTCCTTTTATATTTGCATCTGTCGGTAAAAAGAAGAATCGAAGAAACATGTGCACCGTGTTTATCCCACCAGCAATCAGAAAAAAATGAAAAAAAAATCCCTTTTTTTATTATGTTTCTTTTGATTACAATACTTGTTTTTTTTGTTTTCTATTTTTTTTTAAATAACAAAAAACGTCGAACCAAAAAATAATAAAAAAAAGGGGTTGTAGGGATTTTCAAACCCTACAACCCCATATTTATTTATTTATTGCCTATTTTCCTGGGAAATAGAAATACTGCAAGTTTCACGGCCGCACTTGACCGCATGCGGTCACAATCCCGACCGCACGCGGTCAGCGGCCCCCCGGTCATGACCGCGGGGGACACATAGGGCTCAGGGTGGGCTAAGTGACACCCTTTTCCATACGTCAGGGCTGGTGGAAGAAGAAACCCTTCTGCATGGACCATGCCTCTTCTCTATAAATGTTCGATTGCTTGCTAGAAAAAGAAAAGAGGTGCAGTCGGGCTATGGCTGGCCACTGCTAAAGAGCCAAAGAAGCGACAAGCAAAATCTACATGAAGTATTATCAATTTATCAACCTTCACAAAGCCATTTTGGCAAAATTGTTTGTGATTGAAAATGCTGTGGAGCGAGTCACCGAGAAGGTATTGTTATGGCGTACTCACACTAGCAGTCTAGCACTATCTTAAATGTATCTGACCTCATTTCAGGCAGGACCTGTATGCATCTGGATGCAGTTCCATCTAGAAATAAGTAAAAATGTGCTAGTGTAAGTATACCCTTAATGTGGAGTTATCTACAGGGTCAATCTCTGTTTTTTTTTTTTTTTTTTTTTAATACCAAAAATCCCCCGCCAGTGTTAGTGGTGCTGATAAGAGCAGACACCACTAGCACCTGGGGAGAGGCTCCATCTATTGGTGGGGAGCGTCACCTGCTGGAAAACGGGTCCAGCGTCCCTTATACAGGCTGAAATTGAAGTACATCAGAAAACAGTTGTGGGATGTTCCTGCCAGCATTGATTACCCTGGGATCCGGGGGATTGACTGAGCAGGATATTGGGAGGAAGGGGGAACCTCTTCGCCCTGAATTCGGCGCCAGGTACATCGCTACACACTAGTTCCTCCCTCCCCCTAAGCCATATTGAGTCCATGCTAGCTCGGAGCCGGGTCAGATGGGAGGAGCCACTGGGTGGCAGTGGGACCTCCTTTCGTCTCCCCTTTTTTGAGGACTGGTATCTGCATATCAACCCTTATGCCTCTTCCGGCTTTGCACAGTGCCTTGTCTCAGAAGAAACAATCTCAGCTTTGCACATATTTGCATGCTCGTTGAAAAAATGGGGAAAGCGAAGGGTTCATGTATCAGGCTCGACATACATCCAATTCAAGAACTCAAAGATTAGCCTTTCACCAATCACTCCAGTACCTTTTTTTTGTTTTGAAAAATGTATCTTTATTAAAAGGGGCCCAGTGCCCAAGGCATTACAAACAAGCTGAGCGATGGCTGCTGAGTCTCGCACCCATCTCCACAGGTGGAGCTCCTGCGTTACCTTTCACACTGAATTGATCAGCAAAACTTTTGGGTAGCCTGACGCTTGTGAATAATAGTCAGTAGACACCACGCACGACCAACTTCTGTACTCCATCAATCATAATACCAACCACGAGGTCAACAGTCACAAAAAGACTTAGAAGATGACAGGGACACGACTTCCACAAAACCATTCCCAACCAGAACAGCAAAAAAGTGGCAAATCACTACACATGTCGTCACGACCTTACCTCGTGGACGGTCTGGATGGTGTCTCTATAGATGAAATGCACTCCAGGGTAATCATCAGTATGATGGACTCCAAGATTCTCAGAAACGAGGTTTAAGAACCTGTCGCCAACAAGAGTTTTGTTGTAAATAACATCACAAGGAGCACGAGAAGGAGATGGGACACACCCAGCCCATGCGGTGGCTGAAGGATACACCGTCAGCGGCAGACCCAAGCTGGAACATCACAGAATCAGATAAGTAAAATAACTTTGAATTACCCGGAACAGGTCAGTGTGATGATGGTATCTCAAGGCCGTTGCCCTTCTTGTCAGTAAGGCAGGAAAAAAGATGGACATGACAAAGCTGAATATGAAGCGATTGTCGGGACATCCATTAAAATTGGAACGATACAGAGAAGATTAGCATGGCCCCAGACATAAATAGAGAAATGGTCCAAATTATTAAAAATAAACAAATAGTAAAATACTTTGAATACATAAATAAACAAATAAAACAAGTATGATGCAATCACCCACTTTCCTCCGGCTAACATGAGGATATGCAAAAAAAAAAAAAGAATAAAAATGGGCAACAGCAGCCGTGGCACAAACGAGTTTGAAATATGCAAAAAAAACATGTGCCAGCAAGACAAACAGCTGCGGAATTCAAAAAGGCAATGAAAGCACCACAGTCGTGACAGAGGCACGAATGTCATTACTACAGGGGCAGGCCGTGGTGTCAGACGGGAAAGGGGAAAACAAAAAACCCTCTTTTGACTGGAAATCGCCATTTCAAACTCGCGCCATGAGAACAGTGCCATGTAGTGTGTTTTTTTGCCTTTTCGAACTCAAAATCTGCCGGGTTTGTTTCTTTAAAAAAGAAGTGCAGTTGGCCAGTTGGGAGGTACTGGTAAACCCATGAACTGTTGAAATGCAGCCCTGAGCTCGAATCCAAATGGGACTAGGTGAACGGAATCAAATATTGAAAGAAAAAAACGAAAAGGAACGTGCTACTGAGAATCATATATCAGCACGAGTGCAGAAAGCAGCACGACGACCAAGGGGACTTCTTGTCCAGACAAAGCTGTGCCCTTCACTACAGTGAGTAGTGCCAGGCACAGGAGATGAGATGGAGGACAGAAACAGTGAAAGCATAGACAAGCAGAAAGTAAAAGGCAGAGGAGCTGCAAACGGAGACTTGAAGACTATAGTGACAGAATACTGCTGGCAAGCAGAAATTTGAAGACAGAGGAGCTGCACACGCAGGCCAGTGGGCTACAGTGAGAAAAGAATCAAGGCATTCCAGACTAACAAAGAGCTTTCAGATTGGCTGGATTGAACCCCGGTTTTCCAATTCACAATCTGACACTTTGACCTATTAAGTTATATATTTGCTGTGGTCCCAACTAGCTCCAACAGACCAAGTGTTTTAGTGCGTCGTATTTAAAACTTTTTCACTAAAGTGAGTAAGTTCACTATCGGGGATTGTCTAAGACTGGAGTGTGTCAGCGATAGTAGCACAGAGAGTATATATGAATTCTGCATACACGCCATTTCTGATGGGATGGGAGAGAGAAAGCCAAGTTTGTGGCCATCTTTTTCAGCCTACTTCCATTTGGATTGGGATAGTGAGTATTAGTGACATCTTTCCTCCGGATAATGAACGTGAAAGATGAATTCTCACCATTTTTCAACTTTGTCAGGACCTTCCTCCCTGGTGAGCTGCTTCCATAAGCGGAGTGTGCACCAACCTTGCAAGTGACTCTGCATGTTAGTGATCGCTAAGTCAATATGTGTGTTATGCACGTAAAAGGCACTCACTCCAACACACACACACACACACACACACACACACACACACACACACACACACACACACACACACAC